TATGGTCCTTCAGGGACACTTGATTTCCTCTTTTTATATTTTCAAAAATGATTCTGTTCAAGAATCCATGACAAATAATTCTTGAATGACAACAAATTCAAGTTTTGTATAGTTTGACAAAAACATCTAGAGTCATTAATTGAACATATATTCATTGTTGAATTTAGTAATACATAAAACACAATCACTATGAAATTATTGTAGCACCACAATCATTAAATAATAAAGACAGTAAAACTGACCATAAATAATAAAGGAGGTAAACTCCGGCCACAATTAATAAATCATTAAATAATAAAAATAGAAATAAATAAAGTTTTCTTACCCTTCGGAGTGAGAAATACAATATTTTTTAGTAAAGTAAGCAAACCCCACAATCTATCAAAACTAATATCACAAAATAGATACATATAGTTGAGATGGAAAAAGGGAAATAGAGCTTTTTGTTTCAAGTCTTAGATGGTTAGAGCTCGGACTACTAACTTGTTGTAAATAGAAGACAGAATATGAAAAGAGAGGAGGAAACTTATTTATTCATTAGTTAAATCAAACACAATACAGGACCAATCATATATATAGTCAATTTACCACCGCCTAATACCCAACATCTACATCATTGCACCAATAGCTTATCTACACATCATTGAGCCAATAGATGTCTTCCACCTCTTCACTTACTTTTCCAATTTGCATACTTGTGGGCCCCACTATAATATATAACATTTATAATATAAAAAAGTGGATCTCACCGGTAACCTAACAGTACTCTCTCTCTCTCTCTCTTCTTGACAAGTTGGACAAAGTTTATCCAAAGGAGTAGAGTTTTATTATTTTGGGCAAACTACAATGACCTCTCCTGAGGTTTGGCCTAATTGCAACTAAACTTAAAATTTGCCATTTTTTTTACAAAGACTCCCTATATATGTCAGAATTTTCTATGATTTTACTTATCTACCCTCATTATTGTATTATTAAAAATATCAAAATATCTTGGAATGTCAAATGGCTATTTTGCCCCCTATACTTGTAACCCCACAATGCTTGAGAGTTCACGTGCCTCTCATTGTCACAAGCTATATATACACACACGTGTTTGTACATATATATATATATATATATATATATATATATACACACACACACACACACACACACACACACATACATATGGATGAGCCTCATATATATATATATATATATATATATAGTTTACTGGTATTGCAAAAAGAATAAGAGAGGATTATATTCTTCACCACTCGGTGCACAGTGAAGAATCAAGCTGTTAAATATTTTTACAATTGTCTACCCACCCTTTTGCTGGGTTCTCTCTTGTGCATGGTTGAAATCCATTGATACAAACAATATTTGAAATTGATAAAACCCCAAATGAAATAAAATAAATAAATAAACCCCAATTTTATGAATAAAACTGAGAGAAAAAAAACCCAAAATTCGCAGGTGAAAAACCTATTTAAACGGCGAGGATAAAAAGGCCACCAAAACGATATTCATGAATGGTGCAAGTGGCTGCCCAATTCCATTGACGACACCCAAGACAGCGACCTACAGTGTCACTACAATTGTAAATGATAACAAATAACTCATATTATCATCTGGAGCAGGGGCGGCTCAACCCTTAGGCGAGTTAGGCGGTCGCCTAAGGCCCCCATCCAATAAAAAGGCCCTTAAATATTATAGTTGCCTTGTATATAAAATATATTGTAATTATTTCCTAATTGAACAATAATTCTAAAGAATTTAGCTCCTAAAATAACGCTTCTTTTTTATTTTCTCTCTCCTTATCAATTCAAAGAGAAATTATTTATCTCCTAAAATATCTCATTGTTTTTATTTATCTCCTAAAATATCTCATTTTTTTTCACAATTTCTCTTTCCCCCTTATTCACGGTTGTTTAGTAAACCAAACCCTAACCATTACAGACACTCAATATGGGCCCAAATATTTATATTCTTAAATAATATATTTTTTCTTTGTCATACACTTTTTTTTTTTATACACACTATTTTTTACACCAACACTATATATATATATATATTTTTGGTAAGTTGCACAATAATAAATATTTAGCCGTCGTATTGGGAAGTGAAGAAACTTTCTATATTCTCTTTTTTTTTTTAGATTTTATTTTTTTTTATTTTTTTATTTTTTCTTATTCTTAATCCTTACGTTCATTCTCTCCTCTCTCAGCAAACTCTACAAATTACAAGTCATCTCCCTTCTCAGTCCTCTCTTATTACAACTTTACAATTTTCTTTATTCTTGACTCAATATTCAATAGTTTCAAATCTCAATTTGAACGCACTTTTTTTTATTGAAGAATTTGCAACAGCATTGAATTGGGACTTTCTAAATCAGGTTATATTATTCTTTTTCTTTAATTATTTTTTAGTTTTACTAACTTTTGTTATTATAAATTTGTATATATCTATATTTTTTTATATATTTGTATATTTATTTGTGAGTTGTGAGTCTTGTGACTATTTTTATCCATATTTTTTAAAACAATGGATGATTTTTAATTATTTAATAATTAATATATTACATATTATGATATGAAAAGGCCTTTTTTTTTTTTTTTTCGCCTAAGGCCCCGAGTTACATCGAGCCGCTCCTGATTTGGAGCGATCAAACCATTGGTCAGAGCTCTCAAGGAAGAAGCATCAATGACGAGAGAATGCCACCACTAAGAAAAATACACCCAGACCACCGTTCATCGTACTACCACCACCACAACCCAAACCACTCTTCAGAGAATTAGGAACACAAATCCAAACCAAGAGAATATAGAAGAACATAAATGCAAACCCAGAATCGAAAATAATAATAATAATAAAAAAAACCCGATCGTCTCTATCGCGACCTCTAGTTATTCACAATGAACCACTGATTGTCGATCAACCTTCCTCCGGTGAGATTTCTTCGAAGAAACCCTTGATGATTGATTCACCACCACCACTAAAACCCACCACTACAACTTACATGTGCAAATTACCCACCGATTCAGTAACTTTTCGGCTTGTAAACCTTTTTCCTTCCCAAGACCCGCAAGACCCAACAAACTCTGCCGGAGACAAATCCCAACGGGAATCGGACTCAAACCATGGCGCCGGAATTTGACCGCGACCCACAAACTAGTCGGATTTTGACACCCACTTCACCGGAGGAAAATAAGATGACAACCGTACCCACAGTCGACGGTGTAGCAACCCACGGCTGGAGAAGAACACATTTCTAGCACCGAACCCTCAAGCGATGCAAAACAGCGACCAACGAACCGTGGCCGGAGAAGAATGCTACCCGCGACGCTCGATAGACCCAATCAACTGTGGTTGAAGAAGAATCCCGAACCTGGTATCACACCCCGTCGGTGGAATTGGACACCCATTGTACCGCGGAAGAAAAGAACAGAAAGGTGAGGGACGCTAATGGAGAGAATGAGAGTGGAGGTTGGGGTTAGGGGCTGATCGTGGATGGACCCTTAATCGGGGATGGGAAAGATGAAGTGGAATGGGAAAATGAAAGATATAAAAGGTACTTTGGTTCATTATTGTAATTTTTTTTATATATAATAATACTATGGGTATTTTGGTCATTTCAAACCAAATTTATGAGGGAAAGTCTTTGCAAATTTGGGTAAATCTTAGGAGGACACATTATAAAGAAATGACAAATTTCAGATTTAGTTACCATTAGACTTAACATCAGAGAGGAGAAGGTCATGGTAGTTTAATCTGTTACTTTTATCTTGATTGTATAAAACAAAATGATGACCTAAAATAAAATTATTTATTTTATATATAATTAATTATATTAATATTTGTAACAATCCACTCAAAGAAGCATCCTCGTGATAGTGTTGTCAAAGCCATCCCCCGTTGACTGAGTATATTTAAAAGAATATTTATGAAGCAAAATTTTATACTCCGTGAATGGTTTCTTCACTTTTAAAGGCGTGGACGTTACACGCTTTTTAGGTCAAACATTGACGTGTATCAACATTTATGAGTTGAACCAATTCCAACTTTTATGGGTTTCAAATCCAAATTTAAGTTGAATTTGGATTAATTCATTCAAATTGCACCCTCAGTAAATTCATATGAATAATATTGCGCTCTCATCTAATAAAAAGTGATTAGTTTTTCGTAGGAAATTATTTTAGTGAATGTCTTGAAATATTTAATAATCTTTTTATAAAAAGTTTTAATAATTGAAGATATATTAAAACTCTTTTTCAATTTTATCAACTAATTTATCGAAAGCTTTTGATTTGGACAAAACAATTGTTCTTATATATCTAAAAGTGGGTAAGATAACTTAAAATGAGATGATTTGAAAGTGTTACAAATATCATATATTTGTCTTCAGTATTTATTATTTTTGATCTCTCCTAAATTTGTTTGTTGACTGTAAAGTGACTTTAAATGTACAAAATTAGTAATGTCTTTATATTTTTAACAAAAAGGAATAAAAGCTGGACGATAATCATATATAACTTGGGTAAATTATATTAAAAAAAATAAAACAAACAAATTGAGTTTGTATAGACTTGGTGTGATGATAACTGAGAAGTGAGACTGGGACTGTAATTGTACACGGTGGAGTGTTTGAATGCTATGAATGTAATCGCGTTGGTAATATCTTTTGTCTATATAATTTAATAAGTTTTGTTTGTTTATTATTATTATTATATGATTTTAACCTATACAACTCACGTGGATAATGTTTGTATAGAGTTGGTGTGAGTAATAAGTAAGATTGGATTTTAATTGTCCAGGGTGGAGTGTTTGAATGGTATGTGGATGTTGCCGCGTTGGTCGTACTCCTTGTCATGTACCGTGTGGGCAACCATCCGGCAGAGTACTCCAGAAGCGAATACTAATAGTTTTCATCATTTTTTTGAGTTTGAGTGGGTCATACGTAGACAAAAAGTGGGTCACTTCTATACATACACATATACATATATATATATATATATATATATTTGTATACAGATTTGTATATCTGGCCTGTGCTTCTTCTTCTGTTACCTCCGGCGATAGTTTCAATAAGTATCGCATCAACAGTTATAAAAGCTGGTTAGTTTAAAAGGATAATAAACTAGAATCGTTTTGTTTATAAACTTCTAGCAACACACAGACCAAGAGGAGAGAGTTTTAGATAGAGAAAGTGTTGGTTTCTGGTTTGTTTGGTTGTTTGATTAGAGAGAAAGAGGGAGAGAAAGAGAAAGGAAAGAAGACGACGGAGGAGAAGGGAATGCAACTGGGGAAGTACGAGATCGGAAGGACACTGGGAGAAGGAAATTTCGGCAAGGTCAAGTACGCTAAGAACCTAGATTCAGGCCAATCATTCGCTGTTAAAATCTTGGAAAAGAACAGAATTCTTGATCTCAACATCACCGATCAGGTCACCATTCTTATCATCTCTCTATATATCTATGTATGTATATACTATAATTTGGTAATGATTTCCAGCTTTAGATAAAGCTGATTAGTAATTTTTCTGTGTGTGTGTGTATATATGTATATGTATATAAGTGTATCTCTTAGTCCTACCTTGAACTCAGTGGATATATTTTGAATGGAGATTGCAGATTAAGAGAGAGATTGGCACATTGAAACTCCTCAAACATCCAAACGTCGTCAGATTACATGAGGTACGCAATCCCATTCCCAATTTCAACTTTGATTCCACCCCCCCCCCCCCCCCCCCCCCCCCCCCCCCCCCCACAATTTTATCAACAACATCAGGAATTCCAATTTCCGTGTATATAGACAGGCCTCTATCAATATAATCCCACTTGTATCACTTTTAATCATCCCATCCCATCCTATCCTGTTCTGTCGAATTCATACATAATCATATCTCGTAGGATAGTTTTATTTTCAGGGAAGGTTGCAGTAAATTCTCAAATCACATGGGGGTCCGGGGAATTTATCCTAAATTGACCGAGATATCAATTATTAGATTATAAGTTTACCCCTTTACCTACTACGTAGGTTTCTTACATATTACAAATAACCATGTATTGTTACACCAAATCTATTACTATTTATAGGTTCATCACTTATCTAATCCCAAACTTTTTATGTAATTTTTATTAATTCAATACAATATAATATTGTTCTCTCTCTATATTTCGAACACCAATGTCACATCTACTGAAAATGTTAACTTTACTGTAGTAGGATCCATCTATTTCAATGGAGTATTCTCTCGTCATTTCTAATAGTCCAACTTGGATATTGATAAGTGGAACCATTTTTCTTTTTTCAGCTCTTTTTAATATGGATAATGCTATTCAGGCCTAAATGTTTCTATTCAGACCTCTTCTATTGGATTATTAGGTCTAAGAATCATTATTCAATTTATTCATGGAGTAATATTTACCAAAAGTTGTAGCGTAATAATATATTCTTGCCTCTCAAAGTCAGAGAATAAGGGTTCAAGTATCTATTAAAAGTAAAAGTGGGTGAGTGTGTTACTTTTCGTTAGGATTACAAAAATAATAATAAATATTTATCCGCTCAAATTACTCGAGAATATGCTTTCTTGATGTTTTTTTTCTAGTTAAACACATTAACTACCTTTATGGCTTATGTGAATAGGGGTGAGGGAACCATTTGGACCTGCAAAAATTAATTATATTAATATGTGGTTTTAAAATGAAGCTGTTGTGATATTTTTCTACACAGCCCCATCTGCTTGTGCAAAATACACTCCATTTTCTAAACAGCCAAAGCCACTAGAGTTCTTTTTGTTGCATCAGTGCTGCAGCTTTATGCAAAAAATGAAAATATGTATAAGTTGACTATTTTTAGTTTGCGCTGATACTGTTCTGATTATGTTTTCCTTTGTTAATGTTGAATAAGCAGGTCTTGGCAAGCAAAACCAAGATTTACATGGTCCTACAATATGTGACTGGCGGTGAACTGTTTGACAGAATTGTAAGGAGTTCTTCTAATTGTATAAACAAAATTCCAATGGAAAATCTTGTGCTTTAAGCTCAAATCTTGGATATGACATTTTTATTCTGCTCATGGTTTTTATAGGCATCCAAAGGAAAACTCTCTGAGGCTCGAGGCAGGAAGCTTTTCCAACAGTTAATTGATGGAGTTAGTTACTGCCACAACAAAGGCGTTTATCACCGGGATCTTAAGGTTTTCTTCTGGCCTGACCTTAAGAGCATAATATAATAATCCAAGAGTCAAACAACCAAATTGAATCTGATCTATACGAGTAATTTTATTTTGTTATGTAGCTGGAGAACGTACTTGTTGATGCAAAAGGAAACATAAAGATATCTGATTTTGGCCTCGGTGCATTACCTCAGCATTTTAGGGTATGATTCCAATGAAACAAGCACTTCATGATGGCGGCTTATTCTTTTGATACTTATCTCTACCTTAAATTCTTAAAATTAGGATGATGGGTTACTGCATACCACCTGTGGAAGTCCAAACTATGTCGCTCCTGAGATTCTTAATAATAGGGGATATGATGGTGCCACCTCAGATACCTGGTCTTGTGGCGTCATCTTGTATGTAATTCTCACAGGATATCTACCATTTGACGATAGAAATCTTGCAGTTCTCTATCAAAAGGTACATTAATAGAGCCTTTTTATTTATTTATTTATATGTTTTGTACTTGTATATACAAGTATACAACACATTTTTATGACTTGGAATTTCATAGACTTTCAATCTCTAATCCTCACAAAACATTTCAGATTTTCAAGGGGGATGTTCAGATACCAAAATGGCTAACCCCAGGAGCACAAAACTTAATAAGGACAATTCTTGATCCCAACCCTGTTACAAGGATAACAATTACAGAGATCAAAGTAGACGAATGGTTCAAGCAAGACTATATTCCTGCCAACCCTGATGATGACGAAGAAGATATATACGTAGATGATAAAGTTTTGTCGATACATGAGATGGTATGAACTTGGATAGCTTGGTTGTTTCTGTCCCTTGCAGGTTTTATTCATTTACTGATTTTGTGCCAAAGCTGATGTTATTTCACTGTTGTAGACATCAGAAGCAGAAAAAAATTCAAAATCAGCTACACTCATCAATGCCTTTCAACTGATTGGAATGTCTTCATTCCTAGATCTGTCTGGTTTCTTTGAGAAAGAGGTAAAAACCAAAGTAAAAGAATAACTATATTTATAATATTATATCTTTATGCATAATTTTTGTTGTTCAACAGTGAAGTTTACAAATTCTATAAGCAATTTGATTGTGAAGTTTGTGCATTTGTTTGTGTTATTTTAGGATATTTCGGAGAGGAAGATCAGATTTACATCTAGCCATTCCCCAAAACAATTGCTTGCGAGGATTGAGGATATTGTAACTGAGATGGGATTCCGAGTCCAGAGGAAAAATGGAAGGGTAAGTTTAATGAAATCTCTAAGATTTGCTCAGATTAAGGCATTTTTTTTTTCCACACAAGACACTATTTAAGAAGTTAATCCTCATTCCCTCCACAAGCCAGTGTTTGATCACAGCTATTGACAAACCCCCTTTTTGAAATAAAATAAAATGAAATGAATTGATTTACAAATTCTATTAATGAATAGATTTACAAGTTCTAAAAATATAACATTTATGTACATCTTTTCAGCTTAAGGTGATGAAAGAGCATAAAGGTCAGAAAAGTCTGGGGACTCTTTCAGTTGTAGCAGAAGTAAGCAATTTCTAAAATCAGGACAAGTTGTTATACAAGAACTATATATATATATATATATATATATATATATATATATATACTCCAAATTGCATGCCAATTGCCAATCATCTAAACCTTCTAATTTGTTATGGATAATTATGGCAGGTGTTTGAGATAAGCAAATCCTTGTACGTAGTTGAATTAAGAAAATCATATGGAGATTCTACAATTTATAGACAGGTTTCTCTCTCTCTCTCTCTCTCTCTCTCTCTCTCTCTCTCTCTCTCTCTCTCTCTCTCTCTCTCTCTCTCTCTCTGGAGTCCCAACCCTATATTTCTAACATGTATACAAATATATTGTATCTGCAGTTATGTACAAAACTAGCAAATGATCTGGGTGTCTCAACAAGTAGTCAAGTTCAGCTGATGACCATGGAAGCTTGAGTATCCAGAGACGGTTAGACTAGAAATAGCAACATAAATAAGCCTAGTAGAGAATCTGTATAAAGATCCATAGGAAGAAATGTTGAAAAGGAAAGATTCAATAGTAATACTATCAAATATTATTAGTTGTAAATATAATATTTGGAGAATATTTGTTGTAAATAGAATATTAGTCAAGTGCTATAAATTAGGAAATTATTAATTAGGCCAGCTAGTTATGTGTGAATGTATTTTCTCCTATAAAGATAACCTATGTAAACTTGTGAATAGTGAGCTAATACAGAGAAAAGATTTATTCCATATTTCTTTCCTTTCAAGTTTATATAGTATCAGAGCCACCCTTAAAAAAAAAAAAAACAAAAAAAAAAAACCCTAATTTTCTTTTATACACAATTTCTTCACTAATCCGCCATGTCTGATGTTTCCTTTATGTCAACCTCGCCTATCACAACCCAATCAACCAATCCGACAACCCAAGCCCCCAATACCGATTATCATTCGGTTCTGATCACCAATATTCACCTTAACGGTGACAATTATTTACGGTGGTCCCAGTCCGTTCAGATGTACATCAGAGGGCGGGGAAAGATTGGGTACCTAACAGGAGACAAGAAGGCACAAGCATTGGAGGACCCAACGTACGTGACCTGGTATGCAGAAATTTCAATGGTAATGACTTGGCTTGTGAACTCCATGGACGAGGATATTAGCTCCAACTATATGTGCTACTCCACGACCAAGGAGCTCTGGGACAACGTGAATCAGATGTACTCTGATTTGGGAAATCAGTCTCAGATTTCACAAATTGACTCTAAAACTTGGAGAGATTCGGCAGGGAGAAGACTCGGCCACCAAGTATTTCAATTCATTAAAGCGCCTTTGGTAGGACATGGATTTGTTTAATGATTATGAATGGAAATCCACTGAAGATGCCAATCACTACAAACGGACCGTGGAGGCTCATCGCATTTACAAATTCCATGCTGGGCTCAACGTGGAATTTGATGAAGTACGGGAACGGATCATTGGCAGGTGTCCACTTCTTCCAATTGGTGAGGTGTTTGCTGAGGTTCGAAGAGAAGAGAGCTGCAGACATGTAATGTTGGGGAAAGAAGACTACTAGCGGACCTGTTAAGAGTTCTGCCCTTATTGTTGTCGAGACTGCCGCTAATAAAGTAGTCAATTTTCAGCAAAACTTGAAGAGAAGCCACGGGTCTAGTGCGACTTCTGCAACAAACCGCGCCATACTCGGGAGAACTACTGGAAAATCCACGGAAAACCAACGAATTGGAAGAGTAGCAAGCCTGGTGACAGAAATAGGCGTGCAGTTCCTACTGCCAATGAAGCTGAGACAAGTCCCTTAAGCAAGGAGCAGATGGATCACCTTCTGAAGCTGCTGAAATTTAATTCCTCATATGGTATTCCTAGTATTTCTCTTGCACAAACAGGTAGTGCACTTAATGCCCTTTCTTGTTGTTTAAATTATATTCCATGGATCATTGATTCTGGAGCCTCTGATCATATGACCAGCCTTTCCAATCTTTTTAGCACTTACTCACCATGTTCTGGCCTTCAAAAAATTAGAATTGCAGATGGTAGTTTCTCACCTATTGCAGGAAAAGGTTTTATAAAATTATCTAAGAATATAGATCTTAAATCTGTTCTCCATGTCCCTAAACTAGCCTGTAACCTTTTATCTGTGCGTAAAGTAACCAAAGAATCTAATTGTCGTGTAATTTATTGTGATTCTTACTATGAATTTCAAGACCGGAACTCGGGAAAGAAGATTGGCAATGCTAAGATAATAGATGGACTTTACTACTTTGATGGGGACTTCGCCAGTAATAAAAAGGCTCAGGGCCTTAGTAGTGTTAGTTCTAACTCTGTTTATGAACAAATAATGTTTTGGCATGTAAGACTATGACATCCTAACTTTTTATAGCTTAAACATTTGTTTCTTACTTTATGTAAAGGTTTGGATTGTTCATCGTTCTAATGTGAAAGTTGTTACTTATCTAAGAGTCATCGTACTACTTATTTGCCAAAACCTTATACTTCTTTAAAACCATTTTATTTAATACATAGTGATGTTTGGGGACCTTCAAGAGTCACTACTATCTCTAGGAAAAAATGGTTTATTACTTTTATAGATGATCATACCCGTTTATGTTGGGTTTATTTAATGAATGAAAAGTCTGAGGTTGAAATTTTTTTAAAGTATTTTTACACAATTGTTGAAACTTAGTTTCAAGCAAAAATTAGCATTTTTCACACCGATAATGGAACCGAGTATTTTAATGAAATTTTGGGGAGTTTTTTGAAAGAAAAGGGTAACCATCATCAATCTACTTGTGTGGATACCCCTCAACAAAATGGAATTGATGAAAGAAAAAATAAACATTTACTTGAAGTGGCTCGTGTTATACTGTTTTCAATGAATGTTCCAAAATATCTTTGGGGGGAAGCTGTTTTAACAGCTTCGTATTTGATTAATATAATGCCTACACGTGTTTTAAAATATAGCACGCCATTAGAATGTTTTAAAAGAAATTTTCCATTATCAAGGATATACTCAGATTTACCTCTAAAGGTTTTTGGCTGCATAGCTTTTGTTCATATACCTAATAATACTTGATCCAAACTTGATCCTCGAGCTGAAAAATGTGTTTTCATAGGGTATGCTTCTAATTAAAAGGGATATAAGTGTTATAATCCCCAAACAAGAAAATTTTATGTAACTATGGATGTCTCTTTCTTTGAAAATAAATCCTACTTTCTCAAAAATTCTCTTCAGGTGGAGAATGAGGTGATGGAAGAAAATGTTTGGGATTTATCTCCTATTCCTTTACCAAATCTGATTTCGACTACTTCACCCCATCCTACTGTTATTCCCAAAATTCAAAGTCAGGAACAATGTGATAAAACCAATGAAACCAATAAAGGGAATCCTAGTCATATAGTGCCAAACATTACTGTATCTGAAACAGAGGAAGAATCACAACAATCGGGCACAAAAGTTTCCAATACTGAGCCTCTGGTTTATACTTGGAGAATACCTCATCAAAAGAGTCAAAGTCAGCCTATTGCTCTTGGAAATGATCAATCTCGACCTCCGGGAACTGGACCTCCAGATATCACAGATAATTCTGTTCCTAACTCATCTTCAGTTCCTGTTGCTTCTCCTAACCAAGAACCATCAAACCTTGATATTCCTATAGCTGTTAGGAAAGGTATTCGAATCAAATATCTAATCCAAAATATCCCATTGCCAAATACCTTTCTTATGAAAAACTCTTTCATACTCATAGGGTTTTTACCTTAAAAATCTCACACTTGTTTGTCCCGAGAAACATTCAGGAAGCTCTTGATGATCCGAATTGGAAGTTAGCAGTAATAGAAGAGATAAATGCTCTTAGAAGAAGTGGTACTTGGGACATAGTTGATTTACCTAAGGAGAAAAGAACAGTAGGTTGCAAGTGGGTCTTTACTTTGAAATGTAAAGCTGATGGTAGCATAGAGAGGTACGAGGAAAAACTAGTAGCAAATTATTAGGAAACTTTTGCTCCTGTAGCCAAGATAAACTCAATCAGAATTTTGTTATCTTTGGCTGTGAATTTCAACTGGCCATTACACCATTTAGATGTAAAAAAATGTCTTTTTAAATGGAGATCTTGAGGAGGACGTCTTTATGAATCTACCATCTAGGTTTGAGGGAAAATTGGGATCTAATAAAGTTTGTAGACTGAAAAAATCTTTGTATGGTCTCAAACAATCCCCTAGAGCTTGGTTTGAGAGATTTGGGAGAGCTGTGAAGAATTGTGGCTACTGTCAGAGCCAAGCTGACCATACCATGTTCTACAGACACAGTAGAGAAGGTAAGGTTGCAGTCTTAATTGTCTATGTGGATGATATAGTCTTGACAGGTAATGACAATGAATAATTGGAGAGACTGAAAAAGAGACTTGCAGCTGATTTTGAGATCAAAATGAAGGATTTTTGATATATATAAACAATATTGTACAAAGAGATAAAGTAAGGGCATACCCTTACTTACAACACAAAATTCTCCCTAGCATGGGAATCAAAAACAAATCAAACATAGAGATAGTTACAAGATATCTTGAAGTCTAACCCCCATAACTTGGCTCTCTACACTTGTCATTATGAAGTCTCCCATTTCTTTCCAACCAAATATGATATAAAATGGCAGTAAATAAAATCCTTTCAATTTTGCTGCCCTTCCCTTGGAATTTTTGGATAAACACCCTCATAAGGTTTTGAATCTCATTTAGCCTTTGTAAATTCCATTCAAAAGTAGAAAAAATATTTGCCCAGACTTGCCATGTAAAATCACAACCACAGAATAGATGATATAATGCTTTTGTATTTCTATAACACAAATAACATCTAGAAGCAAGATTAAACCCTCTCCTTTGGAACCAATAATGGAGTTTGCTAGATCCAAAGAAGGTATATTTGTGAACAACGTAAATATGTTCTTAATTTACTTAATGAGACAGGTCTGCTAGGATGTAAACCAACTGAGACACCCATTGATCCCAACCTTAAGCTGTAGCCTTCTAAAGATGAAGAAGTTCTGAATAGAAAGCAGTATCAAAGACTTGTTAGAAGACTAATCTACTTGTCACATACACGTCCAGATATAGCTTTTGCAATCAACATGGTTAGCCAGTTCACGTATTCACTTGGACGAGAATACTTGGATGCAGTCTACAGAATTCTCAGATACTTAAAGGGGACCCCTGGAAGAGGTCTACTTTTAAAAAAACCGTGGGCATTTGCAAGTTGAAGCCTATACTGATGCGGATTGGGCTGGGAGTGCTATTGATAGATGATCAACTTATGGCGACTGCACCTTTGTTGGAGGTAACCTTGTCACCTGACGGAGTAAAAAATAGAATGTGGTAGCAAGAAGCAGTGTAGAGGCCGAGTTTAGATTAGTTGCTCATGGAATTTGTGAGGTGTTATGGATTAAGAGACTATTAGAAGAATTAAAGGTCTCTAATCCGTTGCCCATGAAATTGTACAGTGACAATAAAGCTACTATTTCGATCACTCACAATCCAGTGCTTCATGACAGAACAAAGCATGTGGAGGTAAACAAACACTTCATCAAGGAAAATCTCGAAAACGGATTAATCTGTATATCGTACATTCCTACTACTGAGCAAATTACAGATGTGCTTACAAAGGGACTTCCTACAAGACAGTTCGACAAACTAATTAGCAAGCTGGCTATTGAGGATATCTTCAAACCAGCTTGAGAGGGAGTGTTGAAAAG